TTTTCAGACCGATGAGCTTTGTAAAAATCGACACGTTTCAGAAAGGCGGGGCATAGAGGAGAAACAATGTACAGTATGTGGAAAATAATGTTTTTTTAACCTTAAACCGCATAAACATTTCATTACACCAAATACTGTTCTTTTTAGCAGCATCATATGACCCCTTTAAGCTAGATGCAGCTTCCTTTTAATAATGAGAGGAATAAACTACCATTGATGTGTTGCTTAATTTCTAAGGCTGATGATACGCGGGGCAACTTTGAGCAATTTTGCCAGGCAACTTTTTTTTTTTTGAGCAATGTTGCTTGGGCACTTTCCCACTGAGAATGGGTAACAAATTTCTGTCTACATAATTTAGATCGGTCGTGGGCCCTGTGTCTCACCTGTTGCCCGTTGACTGCAACATTGCTCAAAGTTGCCCCATGTATCATCAGCCTAAGAGTACGAGTATTGGAAATTGTACTTTAAAATGTTGTGGGACACTCTACTGCTGTTATTAACTTCCATGTATTTATTTTGATTTTTTTTACCTTTTTAAGAGATGCAGAAATAATGCAACAAAAGCCAATGAAAATATAGACTCTAAAGCCAAATAGAAGACATCAACAAACCCTTCGGACAATCCTAAGCTATTATTGTTGGTGTCATTAGACTATATTGTTTTTTTTGTGGTCTAGATTCAGCAGTACCATTGTTTGTACTTTGATTTAAAACCTTTTTGTATTGTACTAATTTAGTTTGATTGGGCATTTACTTCACTGTGTACAGGTCTTACTTTTCTTGGTCAGTATGTACCCTGTAAAAACAAAGAATAACAGACCCACAAAACCCATCTTGCAATCACACGTACTCTTGTATTTTTAGATCTCATTTGCTTTCCTTTACTCAAAACAGTTGAATAAAGTGTAGCTCAAAACTGAGTTTGCTTTCTTTCAGAGATGTCAAAATACTAGAGAACCCTTTTCCCCTGCAAATTACATCAGACTTCCAGACCTTTGATTTAGACTTTAAATCCAATCTAAAACTTTTATTTAACACGTTAGAAACATTTACATACATATCCTTCAATGCAACAGTAATTCAATTCTAACATAAATAAAAAGTTATTCAAATAAACACTGAACCCTGAAATGAATTTGATAATTAATTGGCAAATATACAAGTATACATTTGATCAGTGTGCCTAAAGACACCAAGGAAGCATCCATGTCTAAAAACCGCTTAAAAGTGCTAACTGCATTAAAAAACAAACAAACAAACAAACAAAAAAAAAACACACATTAACATTTTTCTAACAAAGGACAGGATTTGTTATTTTAAAAAGCATAAAATCACAATTAAACCAGATCTCTGCATGACTTAGACTCCACAGCAGTTGCTCAGCGTCGTCTTCCGTTTATGAAGACTAAGCTTAACCTGTGACTCTCTTCGCCCCAGTTTAGCATGCTTCTTGACTTTTCTGTGATAATTCATAAGACATTTATAGCCTGAAAACACTTACGTGTTAGAGTGAGCAAGAACTGATGTGGCTTCTTACCTTGCTAAATGTAAAACTGCTTCGATGACATTCGTCCCCTCTTTAGCACTTGCTTCGCAGAACAGGGCATTATAAGACTATAATGCACAGCAAATTAGGATTGGCATGGTGGTTTTTACATTCTTCCCATATAAATCTGAGACTCAAGAGACTCACCATAGCAAGCTTTTCACCATGAAACGCGCTCACACAGCTTCCCTCTGGCCTCTCTGCCCTCAAATCTACCTTGTTCCCTATTACACACATTGGGATGTCCTCATCCGTTGACTCCTGTGAGGGAAAGTTTACAGAATACAGTCTACAAACGAAACAAAGAAAACAAACTCGCTAAAATGTCAGACTGTACCCGAATCTGTTCCACCCATTCACGAACATTCAGGAAACTGCTCTCAGATGTGACATCGTAGAGCAGTAGCACTCCATGTGCTTTGCGAAAATATGACCTGGCGATGCTGCGGAACCTGTAGAAAAGAAACAAGTTTATATACTTATGTTAATGTATACCTTAAAGTAACGTCAACATGCACTATGGGTAAAGAATGCCAAATGGCCACTGAAAAGTTCAGCTTTGCCATCACAGGAATAAGTTAAACTTTAAAACGATTTTTTTTTTTAATTTGTAATTTCACAATATTGCCGTTTTTACTGCATTGGAGCAAATAAATGTAGCTTTTGAAAGTAGTGTATCTTTGGCATGCTGTTCATTAGACAACGAAAACTTGAAGGTTTAAAACCTGCACCCCCCCTCCCCCCCAATAATCACCATACACAACTACAAATTATGTATATAAAAAAAAAAGAGCAGCCCTCAAAAGAATCATTTATAATGTTACATATCAAGTTTGTTTGTTTCTTTCTTTCTTCATGACAATCCAGCATATCCAGCATCTATGGCTATATTCATGGCGAGAACCAGTTAATCCAGTGGTTCTCAGTGTGGGGCATG